CACACAACCATACAAGGCTGTAAGACGCGCTGAGAGCGAGAGGAGAAAAAAAAAAAACAGAGAGCAAGACCCTTGTGTTTCGCTAGCCATTTCCAGGTCCGCCTTACATAAAATGCAACGCTGCCCACACACACACACACACACACACACACACACACACACACACACTCACTCGCACACACATACAGAAAGACTTATGTAATTCCCTCAGAGAAGGAGAGCCACACAGAGAGAGAGAGAAACAGATAAAAGACAACATGATGAAAAGAGTAGAGAAAAGCCCGGACTGAAAATTAAAGCTGGGTAAGGAAATCACAACTCCAGTGTTCATGCCTGCAGCGCTGAAGTTCAAGCTGGCAGACTGGAAGTGTAATAAGCAGAAAGGAGACACGCACTGTATATCTAACTAGGTGTTTTTTGCACCTGAGGGCGGCAGCAACCCAGCAGGAAACACCAGGGAGTCTGATGCTGCTGAGGACTGACAAGTAGATGAAAAGACAGTTAGGGCAAGACTTGTCTGAAGGAGGATGAAGGGAGTAGAGGAAGAGGAAAAAGGAGCCTAGTAAGTGAGAATCTGTGGGGAGATGTAGAGGAAAGTGGAGTTCCGGAAAACCCCCCCTAAATTACGTTGCATCTTCTGGGAGGCGTGCTCAGTAGAGGGGGGAATTGGCTCGTGCAGGGCAGATCTGGAGCGAGCATTTCTAGTGCACAAAAAACAAATCAGCAGGCTGCTAAATGGGTATTTTGGAAAGCGAACATCAGATCTCATTGTGCAAATGTTGACTGACTGCTACAGAGAACCTGCCTATAGTTTACACCTTCTTTTTCTTTTGCAGAAGAGATGAGAGATTTGGAAAAAAGAGATGCAAAACATGGACAGAAGGGCGGACCGACATGGTGGCTGAGCGAGTGATGACGGATTGATGGAGTGACTCAAACGCTCACAGAATACAATTTGTTTTTTCAGCAGATCTGAGAAAACAGAGCAGGTGCTGTAGGTATCAGTGTTGAACTGCATTTTCCTGTACATGTTCGAGGTGTTGGAAAGGATTCGTGCAGCCTAAGAATAAGAAAACATCACCAGACGTCACTCATCGCACCCAAGTGTCACGCATCTGTTCATCCGATAGACATACATTTTTATTTTAGAGTAGAAGAGATAAAAGACAAAAAAGGGGCATGAGGTGAAGCGGAAAAAAACACAAGGATTTTGGGAGAACAGTGTAGGATGAAGGAGATCAGTGACAGCGAGCAGCTGCTCACCGGGAAGCTCAGTCTGGTGCAGATGGACAGTATCGTGGTGTACAGATCGGTCCACCTCCGGACCAGTGCCCCATCTGGTTACAGATAAGCACAACGGCACCCCAAAGGATCATGGGATCAACGGTTTCAACCTTATGCCACCTCCAGATATTCCCTGACGGTGGTGAATGAAGTGGAGGGTTGTCAGCAAGGTGTTTGTTTGCCTTTCTGTCAGTGGACAGATGTTGTCATCGCGATAGCGTTGCAACCGTGCGAGATGCAGATACGAAACTTTCCAGGCGTCTAGCTGAGGTCATAATGAAGGCGGAGTTTGAAGATAGGTGTGGTCCGACCAAGGGCGTCGGGAGTACGAGGGTTGGAATCTGGAAGGGGCGTGGTGTGATTTGGCGTCGCGGCCATGGCAAGATGGTGCCTATTTTTTGTTTCACTTTTTTTATATTTTAACTTATTTAAATGCTCCTTGAAAAGTGTTTTGTGTTAACCTTTATAAATGCCACAAAACACATCAGTTTACAGTAAAATGTATTTTACACGTTTCTGGAATTTCCCAGTCAGGCATTTCCTACATTTCCCAGAATTACTTTCAGCAGCCTCCACATGCACATGAGCTTGAATTAAGTATTTTGTGTTGGTGGCTGTAGCCATAATGATAGAGATAGTGAGAGTAAAAGAGCGCAGGGTTCAAGTGAAGAAAGACGGCCCGTTACACTTAACACGACACATATTCTAGGCGCAATGCATTCTTGTCTCTTGAGGACACAACCAGAGGAGAAATGAAT